TATGCTGAGTTACATGTAAATTCATAAAAATAAAGTATTATGTTGAGTTACCTCGTGAATAAATTTCCACTTCACATAGCTGGAGACCTTGACTCTTCGTAGTCATAATACCAACATATCTACCAGTCGTCAGTGGATTAGTGAAACATATGGCTGATGCCCTGAACTGAATAAAACTATAGCGTCCTGTGCACTGAAGGTTACTTGCCACATCTGTAGAGTTACCTGGGCCATAAAAACAGAACTTCCATTGAACCTTACTATTTTAAATTCCCAGCAGAACTGTCCTGGGGCTTTCACTATGGGGTGGACCACTTGAATTTTAAGCCGTGTCATTGTCAGAGAAAACCGGGCGGTACCAAAAGAGCGAGGTCGGCCGTTTACATTCATCTTTTCACAGTATAAAAGCTATCCGAAAAGATTAGCAACCATGACATTTGCCGGCGTGGGCGTTCGTTTTTCTTCGAGATATCACCAAATCTTGATTTTGGCCTCTCAAGCGGTTTAAAATCATCGAAATTTTGGGCAACTTTAGGTGAGCCTAAAAGGTACTTCCTACAAATTCAAGAAAAAATTATTTTCATGAGATAATATTTGTTCCGTTATTAGTTGATTGAGAAATATTAGAGGTCTTTCGCATTAATTCTACGGTTTTCACGAGGTGCCAAATATCGCCGCAGAATCGTTAATGAGCGTGACCCAAATTTTAGCCATTTTCAGCGAGTCGTTTTTCAAAAGTGCGGCAGTTTATTTCCACAGAAAGACATTTTTGTGATAGTCTTTTGCACTGTTATCAATATCCAGTTTAGTTAAAATTGGTATCTACAGGCAAATCGGAGTAGTTGGTCTCGCAAAGTCCAAAAAAAAATCATTAGCCAGAAATATTTCCCACCAAATTTTTAGCGAAGAATATCACTTGATATCGATGTTCTGCGATTGTTATCCATGATTTACTGAAATATTTGCAAAAAATAGTTAGCTGGACTGCAGAATAGAATATTTAAGCTGTGAAATCGTTATTAACCTATGTAAACATTTCAAACTCACCAAATCCTTAGAATTATTTAGGCTAAATTTTCCCGCGAAAATTCTATCTTTAACGTCACGCTGCATGGATCCTCAGTTCACTGGTCTTTTTTGCTGTTCAGTAGAACAAACTGTTAGTTAATAGTGAGCGAAGCTTTTCCCTGAATCTAATTTTGGGACTTTGGCAAACCCCTTGTTTACATCGATTTTCTCGTTTTCGGAAGGCGTGACGCGTTACAGATTCAAAGGTCAGATGACAGGATTCGAGATGTCGATCTCACCGAAAGGTTTTTCCTTAGTTTTGAAAATATTAGCTGTTCTTTCAGATCAGCAAAATCGCCTATCATTGCTGGTGGCAGGGCAGTTTTTCTCAAAAAAAAAATCATTAGCCAGAAATATTTCCCACCAAATTTTTAGCGAAGAATATCACCTTATACTGACGTTCTGCGATTGTTATCCGCATGATTTACTGAAATATTTGCAAAAAATAGTTAGGTGGACTGCAGAAAAGAATTTTTAAGGGAACAAATATTATCTAACGAAAATAAGATTTTCTGGAATTTGTAGGAAGTACCTTTTAGGCTCACCTAAAGTTGCCCGAAATTTCGATCATTTTAAACCGCTTGAGAGGCCAAAATCAAGAAAAACGAACGCCTACCTTGGCAAATGTCATGGTTGTTAATCTTTTCGGATGGCTTTTATACTGTGAAAAGACGAATGTAAATGGCCGACCTTGATCTTTTGATACTGCCCCGTTTTCTCTGACAATGACACTCACATGTAAGAGGGATGGGTAATTTTGTAAAAAAAACATTACCGCAAGCATATACTTGTACCAGAAAAAAACATTCATGCACACATACAACCATTGGTGAAAAAAAACTAACAATCACTTAGAGAGCCAATACTAAAGCATGTTACACAGAGGAAAACATATCATGCATACTGTACACATGTCCAGAGAAAAAAATTTCCTAGTGCATCAAAGGGTAAAGAGAAAAACTTGTGCCTGTACTATGTCAACCACACCTTCCTCAAAAACACAATGGTCCACCCCTAAGTTGATGAAGGAGTTCCACAGTTTTCAAAGCCATCTTGATGGTTGGGCAACAGTGTCAGAAAAAAATTATTATTAACTAAAAGAAAACAGTGTTTGAAAGGGAAATGATAACAAATAATTTCCTTCAAATTAAAATCTACCTCTGATCAGTTTATTAATAGCTACAGGTTAAGATTCTACAGTACACAAAAGATCGCATTAAGCAAATCTGAGGGATACAGCTGGGCTAGAAAGCACCCTAGCTGTCACATTTTTGCAAAATTGTACACAGCTGAAAATTTTACACCACTTCAAAAAAAAAAAATCATAGACAAATAAATGTATGCAAAAATTAAACACATCATTTGAAATTATTTTTTTAGAACATTTTTAGACATCCTTCAAGTTTGGTTAATGCAATCCTTTTTCTTTGATCTCATGTCCACTATTTGTTAATTGTTAAAATTTTGATTGTCTTTTTTTTTTTTGGACAAAATTATTTGCCATCAGGTAGCCTTTACATGTGCTTAAAATAAGTGAAGTACATGTAAAAACTTTGCACAATGCTAAAAGCAGGTCTTATTGCAATCTCTTCACCTTAAGCTAAGGAGGGGGGGCTGTTTTCCTTGCCCTGCCAGCTTTTCTTCTTTCTGTGATTTCTTCTTTTTTTCCCCAAAATAAGGGAGAGGGGGTGGACCCCCCAGGCCCCCTCCCTAGATCTGCCACTGCTCATATAATCAAGGCATGCCTATAATTATCTAATAATGAAAAGCTTTGCTAGAGAAGTCCAAGAACATCTGAGGACAAAGTTACTTGTATGTACATCTGTCCTGGATCATCAAAGAACCATGAAAAGGTTGAATTGAAGCGTAAGGTAAAGGTAAAGTCTGCATGCAAGCCAAGTGGCCCATCAGGCCAGAGCTTATCCAGGTTTCTGTAGCATGAAGCAACTAGGAGTATTTCTATTCCCCCCTGGATGGGATGCTAGTCCATCGCAGGGTTACCCCCAGCATTAAGGTTGCCAGTACCCATTTATACACCTGGGTGGAGAGAGGCATGGTGAGAGTAAAGTGTCTTGCCCAAGAACACAACACAATGTCCCTGGCCAGGGCTCGAACCCGGACCGCTTGATCCGGAGACGAGCGCACTAACCATGAGGCCACCGCGCCTCCCCTAAATTGAACCATACAAGCTGTTTTCTCCCTGGGCTAAATATAACTCATCTTTCAACTTGAGCATTTTGGCAAGAAATTCTCTAAACTAACTGGCCAGTACTATTTTGAGCACACCTTTTCTCTTTTAATCTACATGTATCAAGACATTCAAACAATTTGGCCCTGAAACACAACCTTTGGCATAATAAATATATAAATTATGTAAATATGGCTTCCTTTTAGTGATAATTTACATAATGTGTGCTCTTGTACAATTACAAGTGATACTGCTAGTTCCATGGAGCTCCATGTAATAAATTGTCTAAACATGTTTAAGTTTTAAGAACACTACATGTATGTACTCACCAAATGTTATTTTGTAGTCTACATTATCTCTTCCTGGATTACCTGTGAACCTGTTAACTATGTGTATTTCATAGACTGCTGCATGACCTAAAGCCAGGTCCACTTGCCACCAGCTGGGGTTGTCTTGGTTTGTATGTGAACAGTGTTTGTTAAGCATATCAGTGTCAGCATTTCCATCCACTGCTCTTCCTGACTCAGCAGCACCGATCAGAGCATCACTGTATGTTGACGACTGATTTGTGGGCTTTCCAAGAGCAAGATTCTCTGTGTGTCAGTCAGTAAAAACAAACATCAACTCTTATGCATATATGTAGAAAAAAACACTTAGTAGTAATGTTATTTGTAAATAGTCATGCACTTTTATCATAAGCCCCTGGCTCAGGAGATTGGGCAACCACTACGATATGTTTACGACTCTAAATAAAGTTACTTTACCTTATCTTACCTTATACTTCCATAACGAACAGTGATTTAATAACCCTCTATAGAAATGGACAAAAAATTTTCCATTTTAAGTTTAGAGATCTCTTGTCCACTTGCAAGGGCAATCTTGAGAGTACATGTATTTCTTATTAAAGTTAATTAACGTTGCTTGTAAAAACTGTGTTTTAACAGTACTGTAATACTATAAATATCTGTATTGTAGATTCAGTAATAGACCCTATTCATAAATGGCTGCCAATTGAAAATTCTTTTGTAAGTATTAAAATTAGCCCAATTAGCCTCGTTTTTGAGTTGGTAATTCAAAAGAATTTTTACTCTCAAACGAGGTTAGTTGCGCTAATTTAAATGCATACAAAAGAATTTTAAACTGGCAGCCATTTATGAATAGGGTCTATAATTTAATGGCAAGTAGTTTAATCTGTAATTTTAAACTTTCATTTCATAATTAATTGCAATTGATGAAAATTGTATTGATAAAAAATTCTTAAGTGTATTGGTTATAAATGTATATAATGTTAACTGCATTCTTGGCCAAGACATTTTACTCCGACTCATACATGTATAAAGGCCTCTTTCCACCCAAGGTGTATAAACGGGTACCAGTAACTTTAATGCTTATGCTGGGGGTAACCCTGTGATAGACTAGCGTCCATTGTAAGGGGAGTCTGATGGTTTTATGCTACAGAAGCCAGAGAGAAGCACAGGATACGCAGACTCAAACTTACTTACAACACGTGTACAGCATCAAAGATGTGTTTTAGTAATACAGGTAATAATCACCTGGTTTTTGTTTCACTCCAAACACCTCTGCTCTCAAACACACACCACCATGGTGAGTTCCTGGCAAAAATCGCAAATACCTCGCTAAAACACCTGCATTAAGAATGTGCTTAATCTCTGAGTTTCTGTCTTCATTTCCCTTCAGAGACTGAAATTAAAAAAGTAGGAAACAATAAGTTTCAATTATGTAACAAATTGATTTTCTTTTAGTAAGTTAGATGGCTCACCAAAACTATCTTTATTTTAAAATCATATTTTAAAATAATTATAGTCACAGAGCAATAGTACAACTTTGTATCAGCTAGTGAACATATTGCATGCAAACATAAATAATTACATGTAACTGCAGAAAAGTCTGAGTCATTTCCTTATGTATGAAAATATAATGATTCATTTCACACATTACCTTAACTTGTCCAATTTCTGTGTAATCTGTCCACTTTGACCTATCTATGGATGATTGTAGAGTGTAGTTCTTCACCCACTGATTTGCTTGAGAATTCCCTTGAGTGGCTACAGCACAGATGATATGAAGTGTTTGTAGATCAATCTGTAGATATGGATTACTGTCACTTGTTCCTGCACACCATGATGATCCTGAGTTCAGTCGACCATTCTTGGCTGCTGTGTTAACATTTTTTTCAGATGAAGCTGTTAGTTTACTGTCTGGAATTGATCCAGTTTCCATACCAAGATCCAAATAATTACAGTATCCTGCAGTTAAAAATAAGTTGTGTAGCACTTGAGAGAAAAGTTAATGCACTTCCTTGTAGTATAAGAAACATCACACTGTCTCATGAAACATGGTTGTCACAGACATCACTTTTCAAAATTCCCTCACTTTTCTCTGATCAAAATAAAGTCTCCCTGACCAAATAAATACAAAATGTCAGATCTACATGCAGTAGCAGTTTCTTGCCTTAACTTACAGCCCTTCTTTACACTTAATCATTAAGACTGATAAGTAATGTCAACAAATTTTCCTTCTTCATTAAGTAAAAATATCACTGAGATCACAGTTACCCCAAAATATTTAATGGTCCTTCCAGCCGTCAATGGAATCAGCTGTGTTATATTATTTCAATTTTCCCTGACTTTTCTTCACATTGTCAATTTTCCCTGACCCCAAATGAAATTGCCCGACCCTTTCAAAACCTTGAAGAATTTTTGTTTCCCTGACCATTTCCTGACCAGTGACAACCATGTAAAATATGAGTACAGCTCCTCGGAGTCCGACCAAAAAACAGAGGCTACAGTCAAACCTCCACATGTTGCCACCCTATTGTAAAGTCCATCTTGCTACAATGGCCAGAAAATTTCTTCCTAACCATGCACTAATCTATACACTTCACTCTTGTTGAAGCCATGGCCAGCTCTCTGTATTGTCAGTTAACACTGCCCCAGGGAAGGAGGCCAGGGTGCATTCTGCACGACTTCCATGCGGAAGATTTGCTAAGGCTTTTTAAATTCAACGCCAAAGATTGCAGCTCCGTTGCTCACTTTTAGTGGCTTAGCTACAACAAAAAAAATACCTCTGGCACCCCGCATACTAAGCGGCCAAGTCACATGTCGCTCTGCTCAAATAATCCCAATTTTCTTTCTATTACGTTCACTGGAAAGCTTTGGACTCAAACCGATTGTGCAAGATACCCGTTATTGGCCAGGATATACAGTATTCAATATGAAATAAAATGGGGGATAAAGAGAAGTTAACAAGCCACAGTTATCTCATCAATTCACCTTGCGTAGTTAAGCATTTATAACCCACCACCAGCAGGGTCCGAAATTAACTTTTTAAGGCAGGCGCCAACTGGCAACTGAAAATTTTTTTTCAGTCGCCATAGGGAAAAATTTGGTCGCCAAAAAGTGTCAATAAGATTTTTCCTTCGCAGCAAAATACAAACCAAAATTTTTGGTAGCCAGATGGAAAATTCTGGTCGCCAATTTTTCTTTTAAGAATCAGAACGAAGAGAATGCGTTTGGGGCCTCAGTGTCGATTTTTCCGCTAACGAATAAGATTAAATACAAACACGCTGATTATTTATACACCTACCACTGAAAAACCACGACGAACAAATCGAATGCTGGCCACATACGCAGTTTCATGTGACTGCCAAATGTTTCAAGTCAACTTTATACCTTTTCTTGTCTCTACCTTTTGGAGAAGAAATGTACCCAACCGAAAAACTGGCGTTTGGTTCTTTGCTCTATGTTCAAAACGATCTTTCCTTTAGCGTTCTGTCAAGACCACCCATGAAAATTCGTCTCTCCATTGGGGGTAGAAACTTGCATTTAGCTGACGACTTTTTGATTGGATGGTTTCCTTCCCCGTCCATATCAGCACATTTTTCCGTTCTTGCCAGCAAAATATTTGCAACGGATGTCATCAGGAATCAAACCAGTGCTGAAATCATCTTTTGACCACTTTGACAGATGCCCAGAGAATATCAAAATCTTCAACTAATCTCTCTGCGGATGTTCCG